CTAGTAGGTAAATGAAAAAAGAAAGCATTTTACAAAGTCAGTTGAACTTCCCTGAGTCCACCCAGCTCTGACGAAAAAGTAAAGATGGCTGAGCAAAGAGCTGACTACCCCTTGTGACCTACTGAGGTCTGGTTATTTTTAGTTACATTTGTTATAATACCATATATGGTCTGGTGGTGCAATGACCGGTTTTTTTCCGTTGTCTTACTAAGAGAGTCTTAAGACTCAGAAATTTTCCATCAAGAGATGATTGATTGATTCAGACCAGATGACCACCCCAACCAATGGCTTTACATTTTGAAGGTGACCTTCCATGTTGCCTAAGTCTATAAATAGACCGCCCACAGGTGTCTCGGCGCAGTTGATGACCAGACGTCTTTGAGTGAGCATAAGTCCTGTGTGTTGCCGTGCAGTATTAAATAATTTATAGAGCATATTCCTATTTTACTTGTGGCTAAGTAATACTTTATGCTTATAGCAACGTTGTGTATACTGTGGTGATTTTCCTGAAGTGTTAAAAGCTGTGATAGTGTTTCATTTTATTATTTCCCACAATTTGTAAGTTGGGTTTTGGTTCATTCTGTGAATATATTTTATCTTGTATAAATCTAGTGTTCTTCCACGATTTTGTGCACTCATCAAATGTTATATGCAGATTAAATGTATTGTTGACATCAGTAGTTTTTCTAGTGTTTACCCTAGACATTAAGTACGAGTTCTAGTTAAACTATTGTGTGTCAGCTTTCTTTTATTTAGGCTTGTTGCCATCTGTGTGTAATCAGTTAAACGAATCCGGGAGCGTTCGCCATCTATCTGGCTGATAGATTGGTGATACGTTACAAAGTGGGGGCTCGTCCCGAATTTGAATTGTTGTATGAGTTGTTGGTTTAAACATTTAAACGCTAGGTTCAGTCTAGTTAGTTGTTTCTTAACTCAGTGGTGATGTGTTGAAACCACTCGCTCGAGGCTAGAGTTATCTAGGTCAGGTAGCCAGACGTGTCGCGTCCTAGATTTGAGGTGAAGGTCATAGAGTGTTGGGCCGTGTTATTCTAAAGTTTTGTTTTGTTTTGATTGTGAAACTAGTGGAAATGGAGTCTTTCTTGTTAAAACCTACAGTTGAGGAAGTCGAGAAGTTAAGTAGGAAAGATTTAATTAGTGTTGTAAAGGAATTGAAGTTAGATTATTCTGTCACTCAGAAATCAGAAGCGTTAAGAGATAAAATTGTAGTTCATTTCATTAATGAATGGGGTGTTCGAAGAGAGTTTGTTGGCTGGTGTGATACTCCGTGAGGAGAAACCTCTAGAGAAGGTAGAATTAGAAGCTAGAATTGCTTTAGAGAAACAGGAGTTGGAAGCTAAAATTGCTTTAGATAAGAGGAGGTTGGAATTAGAATTTGGTAAAGTTAGTGGTGATGTCACTTCTCTAGTGGATCCTAAAAAGTTGTCGGTGGGGCTGGTGATTGCCAAATTTGGGAAATTAGTGCCTAAGTTTAATGAAATAGATTTGGTTGTCTTTTTTAACTCATTTGAGAGTTTAGCGAAGGCATGTGAATGGCCCGAAACTTCCATTACTGCTTTATTGAGCACAGTTCTTACAGGAAAAGCTGCAAGCACATATCAGGCACTCTCTCAAGACGTTCAAACTAACTATGGGCTGGTCAAGACTGCCATTTTGAAGGCCTACGAATTGACTCCAGAGGCCTATCGGATAAAATTCCGAGCACTCCGCAAGCTACCCACTCAATCATATGTGGAATTTCTCTTCGAAAAAGAGAAAATTTTCTAAAGGTGGCTAAATTCTGAGGAAGTTTCAGAATTTGAGAAACTAAAATCACTTGTTCTGAGGGAGGAATTCCTCAGGTCCCTGCCTGAAGACATACGTCTTCACATCCTGGATAGTAAGATAGTCGACATGAAGAAGGCTGCTGAGTCGGCTGACACATATACGTTGGTGCATAAGAAACCACCAGTGTCAGGAAACCGCCTCAACCCTGTTCTTCCCCTTTTTGGCAACAGTCCCCCTGTTGGTCAACACTTGAAGTCGCTACAGTCCAGAGAGAAACCAAGATCAACTTTCAGTCGTCGAGCAGTATGCCAGTTCTGCAAGAGACCTGGTCACTTTATCAAGGACTGCTATAAGCGTCATCAAGCTAACAGAGAGTTTGTGCGTACCTCTGCGCACAATGCTCTCATCCATCAAGCAGCCAGTCCAAATCTGAACTCTAGTCTTCGGAATGACACTAACCCTAAGTGTCCTCCGGAAGGAAATCAAGTCTCCACCCATTACGTTCAGTCACATTTTGACTGTTCATGCTACCATCCAGTTTCTTCCGAGTCTACCGATCTCGAGGGATCGAGAAAGGTTGACTTTTCATCTTTCATTGCAGAGGCTGTCATTAGCAAACCAGGTGATCCGTTGTCTCAGCGGAATATCACCGTCCTAAGAGACACAGGAGCGTCACAATCACTTCTTTTGAAAAGCTCAATGGACATTACACCGGAGACGAACACCGGGAATGTTTCCATTATCCAAGGAATGGGGGCAGAATCTGCTGTAGTCCCTCTACACAAGTTTTTCCTGAAACATCATCTCGTCGAAGGTGAAGTCATTTTAGGTGTGATAGATGGTATTCCTGTCCCAGGAGTACACCTGCTTCTAGGGAATGACCTTGCGGGAAGCAAAGTATACCCCTATACGGTTCAAAACCCTTTGTCAACAGTTCCAGATAATGATAATGAACTGTATCCTGCATGTGTGGTGACAAGAAGCCAGACCAAACAATTGGCTGACATAGCGCATGAACCACACCTACCATGATAATGATAATGAACTGTATCCTGCATGTGTGGTGACAAGAAGCCAGACCAAACAATTGGCTGACATAGCGCATGAACCACACCTACCATCATCGTCGGGAGATCCATCTCCCAAACTGGAGTCTATGCTTCCAGAGAATACAAGCCTGAGCTTACCCCTGATGATATCTCAGGAAGACATAATTAAAGCTCAACAAGTCGACGCGGAACTCAAAGCTATGGTCGAAAAATCACTCTCAGCTGACGATGGGGAGTATTTCTCCGAGAACGACCTCTTCTTTCATCGCTCTGTACCAGTAGATGCCTCACCTGCCGAACCATGGTTGGGTAAAAACCAGCTGTGGGTCCCTCCACCTTATCGGCATGAAATACTGAAACTGGCACATGACCATCCGATGTCAGCGCACCCAGGAGTCAAGAAAACTCTGGCGAAAATCAAAGAACTGTTTTTTTGGCCAAAAATGAAAAATGATGTGTCGCGTTACTGCAAAAGTTGCACGAACTGTCAGTTGGCCGGGAAGCCCAACCAGAAAATTCCTAAGGCCCCTTTGAATCCAATTCCTGTGTTAGAACCCTTCTCCAAAATCATCATGGACTGTGTAGGTCCCTTGCCTAAAACCAAGGCGGGCAACGAGTACCTACTTACCTTTATGTGTTCAAGTACCCGTTTTCCCGAGGCGTTCCCCTCACGGAACATTAGGGCAAAGACTGTAGTCAGAGCCATGACCCGGTTCTTCACTACCTTTGGATTACCTAGAATCGTTCAAACAGACCAAGGCAGCAACTTCACCAGTCACCATTTTCAGGAAGCGCTAGCCAAGCTAGGCGTTACCCACGTCACCAGCTCAGCATATCACCCTCAGTCTCAAGGTGTACTTGAGAGGTTCCACCAAACCCTAAAAACCATGCTGAGAACGTTCGCTAAAAGTAATGCCCAGTGGGATGAAATTGTTCCATGGATTATTTTCGCCGCTAGAGACTGTGTTCAGGAATCTCTAGGTTATTCTCCTTTTCAGCTTGTGTTTGGACATTCTGTCCGTGGTCCCCTGAAGCTGATCCACGAGCGTTGGACAGGTACCAGTAACCATCCAGTGGGGAACTTTGACGATTTTCACGTTCGACTGAAAGCCGTGTGCGAAATGGCTCACAAGAACCGAAGAAAGGCCCAAGTGAGAATGAAAGGACTGTATGATAAGAGTTCTCGTATACGAACATTCCATCCAGGCGAGAAAGTTCTTGTGCTCGTGCCTAACTTGAACAATGCGTTATCCTTAAGATACTCTGGACCCTTTACGGTGCATTCAAAATTAAGTGATTTGAACTATGTTGTCAATACGCCAGTCAGAAGAAAGAAACAGACAGTGTATCATGTTAACTCACTGAAAAAGTATTATGATAATTGTAACAATTTTCAGTCCACAGCTAAAATTACTTTACCTGTATGTTCAAATGTTTCTGATGATGTAATCCATGATAAATTGAAACCCCCAAAATTGGTAAATTCTTCCTTGTTAGATCATTTAAATGACCACCTTATGCATTTGTCCACTGAGGAAAACCATAAATTGTCTCATTTATTTGAGACCTTTCCCTCTATTTTTGGGGATGTTCCCAAAGAAGCAAAGGTGCCACCTCATGATGTAGATGTAGGTGATGCAAAACCTGTCAAACAACACCCCTATAGAGTTAACCCAGAAAAAGCTGTTTTGATAGAAGATGAAATTGACTACATGATCAAGAATGATATCATTGAACCCAGTTTCAGCAATTGGAGTTCACCCTGCCTTTTAGTCCCGAAAGACGGTGGATCTTTCAGGTTTGTGACTGACTTTAGGAAGGTGAATGCGCTCACCAAGGCTGATTCTTACCCCTTACCTCGAATAGAGGACGTTATTGATGAAGTTGGTCAAGCTAAGATAATTTCCAAAATTGATTTACTGTCAGGATACTGGCAAATCCCCTTATCTGACCGTGCAAAAGAAATATCTGCTTTTGCAACCCCTAATGGTTTTTATAGATACAAACGTATGCCTTTCGGTATGCGAAATGCTGGTCAAACTTTCCAGCGTATCATTAACTCTGTCATTGCTGACATTGACCAATGTGAGGCCTACATAGATGATATAGTTGTATTTTCTGATACTTTTGAAGAGCATATTGGTCAGTTGACTAACCTTTTTAGAA